TAAATTTCTAATTTTTGGTCAAATATATATACATATATATTTGTATATATATTAAGTTTGTAATTTAAAATTTTAAATATACAAATATATACATATATACATACATATATATATATATATATTTTATCAAATATCTATACATATATATATTTGTATATTTATTAAGTTTGTAATTTTAAATTTTAAATATACAAATATTTAAATCAAATATATAAATTTTCATATATAAATTTATATATATATATACATATATATTTTTATCAAATTTTTAAAATGATGATATGGCGTTGACGTGTCAACTCAGTCAGCGTCATGTCAGCAATCTATCGTGCCACATCAGTAAAAAATTTTGTCAAACAAGTCAAAGGTTTTACATGGAAGAAAATTGTAAGTTTGTAATTTTTGTACAAGTTTTGACCAGATTCAAAATTTTTTTGTGGGAGATTACAAGTTTAAGATTTTATATGGAATATTTTTACAAGTTTGGAGTTTTTTTTGTGGATTAACCCAAGATAAAACCACATGGACTCCAGCAATCTTAGATTTGTTTTTGTTTCCTTTTAAATTACCAAAATTAGTAAGTATGACCCCCGTGAGAAACACTTGGTCTTAAAATATCGATTTTAATTGAGATTTACCAATTATAACATCATACCAAATTGTGGTTATATTTGTGATGTGAATTGGGATCAATATGTTACCAATTCACGAGGTCAAACACAATATTCTGGTACGGATTTGTTTTTATTTAAGATTTCCATATCGAATTCAACCTCCTAAACATATCATAATATATCATTACTTATGCACGTTTGTATTCATATATAAAAAAGTATAAAATCTATTTTATCTTTTTAGAATGCCCATAATATAAAGTTTACATATAAAAAAAGATACTTTTTTGTTTTATATTTTATATATTTTAATTTTTACTATACTACCTTATACAAACATATATATGTATATCACTCAATTTGTACTATATATTTATATCGAGAAGGAGATAATATGATGAGCGGTGAAAAATGTAGTTGTCATGTAGGCGCTTATGGTTAACACTGTTTTTGTTTGAACTTTGGCAATGGAGATTTGATCTCTCTCTCTCTCTCTCTCTCTCTCTCTCTCTCTCTCTCTCTCGCTTCTGGTTTTTTCCTCTCCCTGTCTCTCACTTGTCGCAATCCCTAGAAACCCTCCTCTAAAAACCCCTAATTTCCTACAAAGTCGCAATTGTCTGCCAATCTCCATCCTCCCAACTTCAACCGCCATTGTTGCTTCTCCTCGCTACTTGTCCTCGTTGTTCAGTTCGATAAGATAAGATAATTATCCCCTCGTTCTCAGGCCGATGCTCTTGTCTTTTTGTTATCTCTTAGTTCGTCAGTACAGCCCGGAAATACCTCTGAAGCTTTGAAGTTGAAGCTTGCGAAAGGCGGTGAAAATCCCGATTTAATCTCTTCGTGCAGTGAATTCGCTGTTATTTTCTTTCCGTTTCTCTCTTTTTTTCCTGATTCCACCCGCAAGGTGTGGTATGATTTGGATTTAGTTCAAATCTTAGACTCTACTGATATTTACTGAGGTTTAGCAATTCTTGGGAAATCTTGGTTCTTGTTGATTTTGGCTTTGGTTACTCGGGTTGTATCAAGCTTATCATTTTGCCATACCTGCTGTTTGAATAGTTTGAGCTTGTGGAACTATAAAGATTCGATTTTTGTGGAAGCCCTGGTTTACATTCCGAGTTTTGGAGGGGCATAAGGTTGTTATCTGTGGAATTTTGGTGGGTTTGCTTGGAAAATGACTGTGGATGAAGTCAGTGGTAGTTCTACATGGAGTAGGGAGGATGATATTGCTTTTGAGAATGCTCTTGTGACTCATCTCGATGAAACTGAAGATCGGTGGGAGAAAATCGCGGCGGATGTTCCTGGGAAAACTCCAGATCAGATCAAAGAGCATTATGAGCTTCTAGTTGAAGATATTAATAAGATCGAATCTGGATGTGTGCCTCTTCCTACTTACAGTTCTCCGGAGGGTTCAAATGGCCATGCGGGTGAAGAAGGAGGAACTGGTAAGAAGGGTGGCGGCAGTCATGGGGGTGACTCCAACCACGGCGGTAAATCAAAGCCAGAGCAAGAACGGCGGAAAGGGATCGCCTGGACAGAGGATGAACACAGGTGACAGTTTCTTACATTACTAAATCCATTTGTGATTTCCTTGTTGATTTCATAATGCGTACAAGTTTTGACGAGTTAGTGCTCCATATGTTCTGATTGTGTTGCATTGTTTGCCTGCTGCGTTTATTTGTCTGTATGTCTGGAATCTGGATCTGGAATTGATAGGTACGCTTGCTTGAATACAGTTGTCAAATTTGTAAATTGCTTAGAAGTAAGAAGCTGACTTGTATAAAAAAAACAGCCAGTGCCCTTTCTGGTTCTTGATCTTGATCAGCCCTTTTCCCTGAATTCGAATGAGAAACGGAAGGCAGATTTTGCTTTAGGGTATGTCTCCTGCTGTAACTGTAACACTAGGGCTGTCTGAAAGAAAAATGGGTTAGCAGATGGAAAAAGGCTTCTAATTCTATGTTTGTTGTGACCCATTCCTTTGAAAATTTAATCAGTATGGGACGCAGAAACTTGGTTTCAGAAATTCGTCTCTCTCTCTGTCTCGGTGTCCTAGCTGCAATATCGGGACTCTGGGACCATTTTGACCATCTTTCTACCACTTGTAGAAAGTGAAGATATATGCCCGTATATGGTGGAAACCTTAGAAAGTGACGGGAACATGGCAATCTATCTGTCCACCTATATTATTGGGGAACCCAGCTTCTCTTGGATTCTCTTCCTGTGGGGAGGGGAATAATAAGAATTTGCTTAAAAGTTCAATTTCTATTTTGTTCACTTTTTAGTGTGGAAATGGTTGAGGATATGTAGGCATGGGTCGGGTACCTCGAAAAATTTTGCGGTACTAGAACCCAGACCCAAAGGCTCGGGTACCCGAGAAAATACTCGAGTTTATTCTTGGGTGATATCTGTGTGTGAAGTCATACAGTAAGTTGGACAGGATTAGAAAATTCAGAGTTTGGTATAGAACTAGGAGACATAAGTTGTAGATCTAAGCACTTGAACAAGAATTCATACCCGTTGCTACAATCTTAAGTGCAAAATCGGTAAACTGAAATTTGTAAGGGGTTGACCTGTCTCCTAATGCGAAGTAACCCGGGTGGGGTTCTATATGCTTTTCTGCCATTCTTTCTGCGATTAGCCCATACAGGAAAGAATTAAAATGAAACTGCTGCCTTGAGTCTGCATTTTGTTATAAAACATACTCTGTATTATGCTGTTTCCTTCCCGTCATTTTCATCACAAGTTTTAGCGAAAGAAACCAAGAGTTGGCACTGTTTGTTCTTCCTATCTTTCATAAAAGCTATATTTTACGAAATTTGGTACCTACGTCTATAGCTTTGATGGAATACTTATTTGGTTTCCTATTCTTGTTTGGAAACAGGCTATTTCTTCTGGGTTTGGATAAGTACGGAAAAGGTGACTGGCGCAGCATTTCTCGTAACTTTGTGGTGACAAGAACTCCCACCCAAGTTGCGAGCCACGCCCAAAAGTACTTCATCCGTCTCAACTCCATGAACAAGGACAGAAGGCGATCAAGCATTCACGACATAACCAGTGTCGGGAACGGGGACATCTCATCACCACAGGGACCAATCACAGGTCAGAACAACAATGGCGGGGCAGCTGGTCCAGTGGGCGGTTCCACAAAGTCAGCCAAGCAAGCTGCCTCTCAACCAACTCCAGGCCCACCTGCCATGTATGGTGCACCCACCATAGGCCAACCAGTAGGTGGACCGCTTGTTTCAGCCTTGGGCACGCCTGTGAACCTCCCGGCTCCAGCCCACATGGCTTACGGTGTCCGCGCTCCTCCAGTCCCTGGCTCAGTGGTTCCTGGTGCACCCATGAACATGGCTCCAATGCCATACCCGATGCCACATGCACCCACAACTCATAGGTAACAAAGCCAGTGTAATGCCTTATCGTTAGGTGTAAGATTTGTAAAGGATAGTGAAACATTCTGTTCTGTGTTGGGGTTCAAGAGTGAGTTTAGCTTTTTTGTTGAATTCTGGGGGTTTGAATAAGAACATGATTATTAGTTTCAGACATCAAAGATTTGTGTTTTTATGGGGAAAAAAAATAAAGACAAACCTTTCCTCTTCATGCTTTTTTGTTCTGTCTCTTACCTCTCTTCTTGTATATGTAAAAACTCTGTTCTCCATGGCTGTCACTGTTGATTGAGCAATAATATATCAAACCTTTCAAAACCATGTACACTTGTTTGTGTTCATGTCTTTTTCACGCGTGTTATCATTTATTCTTCTTTTGTTCCTTTCACTTAATTGTATAAATCTGAGTATTTGATTGTATAGGGGAAAAAAAATCTAATCACAAAACGTCAAGAACGAAGTTGTCAGGGGTAAATCGTGATAAAAAAAAAATATCTAGGTATTTCTTGTAAATAGTAAAAAATGTAGGGAGAAAAATATTAAAACTTGAAACTTGTTACTGGCGAGTGAGTAACACGCGAGCCGGAGCGTCTAGTACCCCCGATACCGTAGTAATCGCCTAATCGGACAGAGACAAACATCATTGGAGAAAACCCTCAGTCGTCGTCGTGAAGAAGCCGGAGTAGAATCTCGAGTTCGGTTACGAGATCTCTCAATCGATTACTCCGAGATTCGGTCTTATTCCCTTGGCATGTGATAAGAAACCCTAATCTCGATCTCTTGTTCCAATCCAACGAATCTCGGGTTTGTCTCTTGCTCCCTTCTTAGATCCGGCTTTTTCTTATGAAATTGTGATCTTTCGGGTAAGGTTTTGATTCGATCGACCAAATGTCCGATGCTTTGATGTAATTAATATATTCGTCGTTAGGCCATAAGCATTTAGGGAAACTGGGGGAATTTTCGATGGGATGAGTTTCTGTCTTTTTGCCGTGTTTTCGTTGAGTGCCAAATTTGGATTTCCTTCGTGGGTTGTGGTTACTAGTCTGCAACGGGAATGCGGTTTTTCTTTGTGCAGAATCGAGGAACGTAGACGACTGGGGTGAACCGGGAGTTGTTTTGAGATGTCGAGCTTTCATGTCGGTGGGAAGGTGGTGGAGAAAGTTGATTTATTGAAGAAGAAACACTGGGCATGGCGCTTTGACGTGTGGCCGTTTGCTATTCTGTATGCTGTGTGGTTGGCTACGATTGTGCCCAGCCTAGACTTCGTAGATGCTGCCATTGTGTTCGGCGGTCTTGTTGCTCTTCATATCTTGGTCTTGCTTTTCACGGCCTGGTCGGTGGATTTCAAATGCTTTGTCCAGTATAGCAAGGTATTGGGTGGGGAGTTCCATCTTGATATAACAGTTGTTTTGGGAACATTTTCGTGTGGTTGTGATGGGTTCACTGTTTTGGTTCTCAGGTTAACAATATTTATCAGGCAGATGCTTGTAAAGTTACTCCAGCCAAATTTTCAGGTTCCAAGGAAGTCGTGCATCTTCATTTTCGTAACCTAGTAAGTTCAATATCTTGTCAATTTTTTTAGTAACTGCTCGTGGTTCTCTGAATGAAAGGGTGCCTCTACAATTAGTGTTTGACTTGTAAAATGGATCCCATGCAGTGTGCATGGTTTTGTATTCCACTCACTCTTTTCATATACTTCTGATCTCTGTTCTCATAACAGTTTTAAAGTTCAATGATTTTTATTTCTTTTACATGATCTTGCACAAGATTTAATCTAGTCTGGCTGTGGTATGGTCTATGGTGTTTTAGTTGTCAAATTGATAGTCATCAGTAAGCCAAACAGTGGATTTGTGCATAGTGGTATATGTATATTGATGTATCTGAGTCCACTTAAAGCTGAAAATGATTGGTTGGTTGAGCCTCTTTCTATTAGGGAATCTCGTTGGTTTTTTCAGGTGACTGGTTCGGCATCCTCCGGAGACGCAGAAGAAATTTGCTTTGATTTTAGGAAACAGCGTTTCATATATTCAAAAGAACGGGGGACTTTTTCTAAGCTTCTTTACCCGACAAAGGAAATATTTGGTCAGTATCTAAAAAGTACCGGTCATGGTACTGAAGCTAAAGTTGCCACTGCCACTGAGAAGTGGGGACGGAATGTGTAAGTTGTCTTGCAAATTTTTCTTTTCATATGCTTGTCTGTCTCAATTTCCAGTGTAAGGTTTGATTGTACAATATTCAGTTGTCGATTCTGGGGTACCTGATCATTTCTAAATGTTTGATTATTTCTTGTTTTTTTATGTAACCTAACAGTGTATCTGCATCTTGCAGATTTGATTATCCACAACCTACATTCCAGAAACTAATGAAAGAACACTGCATGGAACCATTCTTCGTATTTCAGGTGTTATTTTGTTAATCCATGTCTGCTTTTGAGTTTTTGTGTTTCCTAGTTTATTTTACTTAAGTTTCGTGCATTTTCCTCATTTTGTAGGTGTTCTGTGTGGGTCTTTGGTGCTTGGATGAATACTGGTATTACAGTGTGTTCACTCTATTCATGCTGTTCATGTTTGAGTCAACAATGGCAAAGAGTCGGTTAAAGACTCTAACTGAACTAAGGCGTGTTAGGGTGGACAGTCAGACTTTAATGGTGTATCGATGTGGGAAGTATGTTGTCAAATCTAACGTAAGCCTTCTTGAAGATTCGTTTTTGTATTACTGCTATGTCTGAATAAAGTATATTTTAGGTGGGTGAAACACTCGGGTACAGAGCTGCTGCCAGGGGACGTCGTATCCATTGGAAGACCTACTGCTCAGACAGGAGATGATAAGACAGTACCAGCAGACATGCTTATACTTGCAGGAAGTGCTATTGTCAATGAAGCCATCTTGACGGGCGAGTCGACTCCCCAGTGGAAGGTAACATACCTTTTCTTTCTAATCCCTGCCTTTGTTTATATTCATTTGACTTCTTATCAAAATACACGTTCTCAAGATTTGTGGGTGCATATTCCTTTTTTTTCCTGCCAAATTACTCTACTGTGATTCTGATTTCTCTATTTATTGGTAACAGCCTTTAGCACACCACATATTTTTTATGTTTTTCTCGATAATAGTTTTTATCACATTGTAAGAGTCTTACCTGTTAATAAATGAGCAATGTTTGCTCTACTTTCTAGATCTTTATTTTTATCTTGATAGGTCTTGACACAGTAAATTCCATTTGTCTTGTAACCTACTTTTCGCTGAGATAGTATAGTGTGGTTATATTCAGGTATCAATGGCTGGTAGGGGAGCTGATGAGAAATTATCTATCAAACGGGATAAAAATCATGTTTTATTTGGTGGGACTAAGATCTTGCAACATACAGCGGACAAGGTAATTCTGCATCAGCATCACTGGTATCAGCCATTTCCTCTGTCTCTATTTTTTTTAACTTCCTCTAATTTATACTGAAATGTTTGGATTCAGTCCTTCCCTCTGAAAACCCCTGATGGTGGCTGTGTAGCTGTTGTTCTTCGAACTGGATTTGAAACAAACCAAGGAAAACTGATGAGGACAATTTTATTTTCTACAGAGAGGGTGAGTGATATATTTTCCTCTTTTCTTTAATTTATTGTTGTCCTGTTTGGTGTGCTGGGACCTTATTTATTTTAACTGTTTGATAAAACTTTTAGGTTACTGCAAACAGCTGGGAGAGTGGTCTGTTTATATTGTTTTTAGTCGTATTTGCGGTGATCGCTGCGGGTTATGTTCTTGTCAAGGTATGCTTTTAATCACATGGGTGCTTATGCAAAGAAATATGTTTGTGATGGTGATGAGGGAACTCGTTTTCAGGGTCTAGAGGATCCGACAAGGAGCAAGTACAAGCTTTTGCTGAGTTGTTCACTAATTGTTACTTCGGTTATCCCGCCCGAATTGCCTATGGAATTGTCCATTGCTGTCAATACTTCTCTTATTGCTCTGGCTCGTCGTGGGATATTCTGCACAGAGCCTTTCCGGATTCCTTTTGCAGGGAAGGTAAGCTTTGCAGTATCCAAGAATCCTTTTAGCCTCATTTGGTTATTTGGCGGACTTTTAGAAATCCAGGAGTCAGGAGATAAAGAATTGGTATTTTGCTTGATTATCTTATTTACTTAAAAGTGTCACATTTTTCTATTGCCAACAGGTTGATTTGTGTTGCTTTGACAAGACTGGAACCCTAACATCAGATGACATGGTATGTTCTGGTGAAAGTGTTGTTTATGATGCTTGCTTGGTTATGTTTTCTGTAAGAATTCTTTGTAATTGCTGCTGTACAGGAGTTCCGAGGAGTTGGGGGTTTGTCTGATTGTGAAGAATTAGAGACTGAAATGAGTAAAGTTTCTGCTCGCACCCTGGAGATCCTGGCTTCATGTCATGCATTGGTGTTTGTCGACAACAAGCTGGTATGTCTATTCAATTTCCCGATATTCCTCTTCCTGCTTTTGAGATCCATTCTTGTGCGACTCCATTTTTCGGGAGTTTTGAATTATGTTTCCCCACTCTTTTAAACCATTTTTGCTTGTACTGATATTTACTTGATTCCAAAAGATGCAAACTTTTCTGTTACCTTGGAAAGGTTGAATGAATTAAGACTACATATGTGAGGTAGGATACATTTGTCTCATGGTCATCTTTCTGAAATGTCCTGTACTGTTATGTGTCTGCTCTGTTCTGTGTACTTATAGGTTGGTGATCCCCTTGAGAAGGCTGCGCTTAAAGGAATTGACTGGAGTTACAAATCTGATGAAAAAGCCTTGCCAAAAAGGTCAGTGTTATCATTTTTATTTATTGTCCTATAACTTTGATCCTTTGCATTTGTGTTCTTATTAAAATCCAATTTAGTTCTAGTTAATTTTGTTTCAGTATGTATACTTGCGAGTACTATGCTTACAGATTTGGAGAATAAAGGCCAAGTTTTGGGACTCACCTCTCCTGTAATTCGTCACTCTATGATTTTACTTCCCCATTACTACGTTAATATTGTTATCATCGACACCACTCTGCTCCCCCTATCTAAATGACTGATATCGTAAGCCTACACATAGGTTGCATTATGCGTAGAAGCTTCTAATTGATCAAATCTCATGTTTGGTTTGTCGGTATGAGGCCACAGTGCTGGCATCTCAGCAAATCATTAAGAGTTAATTGAAAAGTGACATTTCAAGAGCCTTTCACGTGAATGACAATAAGCGTTTACATTTGTTATCTGTTCTCAACTGCAGAGGGAATGGCAACGCAGTGCAAATTGTGCAGAGACACCATTTTGCTTCCCACTTGAAAAGAATGTCAGTTATTGTTCGTATCCAGGAGGAATATTTTGCTTTTGTGAAGGTCTGCTTGAGACAGCAATCTTTGTGCACTCTTCTTTTCATTAGGAACGACATCACTGTTTTTTATGCTAATACTTAAATCCCTTCACGATATTTTTGTCAGGGAGCACCTGAAACAATCCAAGATAGACTTGTGGATGTACCAGCAGCATATGTTGAAACCTATAAGAGATATACTCGCCAAGGATCCCGTGTTCTAGCCCTTGCATTCAAGCCACTTCCTGATATGATGGTATTTACTGACGCTCCCACTTATGGACTTACTGGCATGGTCAAAGAAGAGCATGATTCATATTGTTTTGTTTTGAGTTTCAATCTTCTAAATAATTGTTTCTGTGGTATTTTCTGGTGTTGGATCATACACTGTCACCCCTTGCCTTAACGTTTTTTCTTCTTCCAGTGGTGCCAAATCTTTGGTTTATCAAGGTTTATGTGTGAACACTACATGTGCAATTTAAAACTAACAATTTTGTCTTCTCCATCCGAAGTATGAATTCCATAGTTACGTCGCTGGAACCGATTGTCTGTCTCCGCGCTTACTGTGAATTTACTCTTACCCTTGTTAACAATATGAATATGCCTGCATTTTCAGAGTCTGAATTAACGATATCTATTTACCTGCTAGCTTAAGTTGTTATCTTAAACATATTCTTTACATAATGACCAGGTTAGTGAAGCCAGAAACATGGACAGAGATGCAGTTGAGAGTGGCCTTACTTTTGCCGGATTTGCGGTAATGACCAAACAATTTATGCTCTTATGCAGCTATGTTTACTTCTGTGCATTTTATGCACTTACTGTTGATACTGAATAACTTTTACTATGCATCTTAGGTCTTTAACTGCCCCATTAGAACTGATTCAGCTACCGTTCTGTTGGAGTTGAAGAATTCATCTCATGATTTGGTAATCGAAATTCTGTCTCTTTTTCGATGCATGTGCCTGTATATCTCAGTAGATCTCCATTTTTATGTGGTTTCTTCCAGTTTCCTTCTGTTTTGAACTCATATTCTTTTGGTTATTGTAATTCCTTTTCCTACTTGTGTTTGAGGCTTCAGTTGTCTCACCGATGCTACCATTGTGATAGGTTTCTTCCAATGCATAGAATAGGCTACACAGTTCACATGGATATTTTAATATCTCCATCATGGGTTGCTCTAGTGGCAGTCCCTTTACATTTTCCTTTTCCCCTTGTATGGGGAAGAAGTGATTTGCGGGTGTATAACATTCTGTTCGTATTTTGCAGCTCATTTTTCAATTAAAAATATTGTCCTTCTACCATCTTTTTGGTGGTTGCTCAACGTTCTTAAGAATGCTAAAATTTTCGGTTATTGAGCCTGGAAGGGTTTTCTGAAAACTCTTCTTGCTTTTTTTTTTTATTCCAGACGATGATAACAGGTGACCAAGCGTTGACTGCTTGTCATGTTGCTAGTCAAGTGCATATAGTATCAAAGCCGATACTGATTCTTAGTGCATCAAGGTCTGGTGATGGGTATAAGTGGATGTCACCTGACGAGAGGGAGATCATACCCTACAGGTTTAAGCCTCTTTTAAAATAAGTTTCTTTAGGATTCAAATGATATTTTTATCACTCATCTTGTATTGATGTTCAGTTTTTTTTATGTGACACCAACATTGTGGATTGTGGTCGAGTCTCCTAGTCTCCCTTTGTGCTTTTTCAGAATATGCGTGTGTTGATTTACTAGTGATCGAAATATATTTCTTTATTTGATGCTCAATCGCGTAGGAAAAGCAACTCGATACTGTCCTGTTCTTGTGATGTTTTTTTTCTGCATCTTTGGCTGAGAAAAGATGGTATGGTTCTCATTTTCAGTGACAAAGAGGTTAACGTCCTCGCTGAGACCCATGATTTATGCATTGGAGGTGACAGCATTGAGATGCTACTGGCAACTTCTGCTGTTCTACGAGTCATTCCATTTGTTAAGGTTAAAAAAACACCTCATTATCTGTCTCTCGGTTTCTTTGTTCCTAGATACTCATATAATTTAACCATTTGCGATTCAGGTTTTTGCAAGAGTTGCTCCGCAACAAAAAGAGTTGATCTTGACCACCTTCAAAACAGTAGGAAGGGTAACTTTGATGTGCGGTGACGGGACAAATGACGTCGGAGCTTTGAAGCAGGTAACTGATAATAGGAAATTCTCTGGACAAATATAGCTTTAAAGTGATGGTTGATGCCAAATTGATTACAAGGGAAACCATAGTTTTGCTGGATAGATCTTTGCGTTTTTCTTCTCATTTCTTTCACTTGATTCATGATTTTAGGCTCATGTTGGCGTTGCCTTGCTGAATGCTATTCCTCCCTCACCAAGTGGAAGCTCTCCATCAGAACCATCTAAAGATGATAACGCGAAGTCTAAGTCCAGAAAACCGAGAGCAGCGTTAGAGGCAGCAGACAAAACTGCTAACCCGAGCAAAGAAGGGTCATCAAAGGGAAAGATGGTCACAGCTCAAAATCGCCATTTGACTGCTGCAGAAATGCAAAGACAAAAGCTAAAGAAGATGATGGAAGAACTAAACGAAGAAGGAGATGGCCGCGCAGCTCCGGTCGTGAAGCTCGGTGACGCATCAATGGCATCACCTTTCACAGCTAAGCATGCATCAGTTGCCCCAACCACGGACATAATCCGGCAGGGACGTAGTACTCTAGTGACCACTCTTCAGATGTTCAAGATTCTTGGTCTGAACTGTCTTGCCACGGCCTATGTCCTTAGCGTCATGTACTTGGATGGCGTCAAGCTCGGGGATGTCCAGGCTACGATCAGTGGAGTATTCACTGCCGCCTTTTTCCTGTTCATATCTCATGCCCGACCGCTTCCAACACTCTCAGCCGAGCGGCCCCACCCGAGCGTATTCTCTCTCTACCTCTTCCTCTCTCTGCTCGGACAGTTTGCCGTCCATTTGATTTTCTTGATGTTTTCGGTTAAAGAAGCGGAGAAATACATGCCAGAGGAGTGCATAGAGCCAGACGCTGCATTCCACCCGAACCTGGTAAACACGGTCTCGTACATGGTGAGCATGATGCTTCAGGTGGCTACGTTTGCAGTGAACTACATGGGTCATCCATTTAACCAGAGCATAATGGAGAACAGACCGTTCTTCTACGCACTCATGGGGGGTGTAGGGTTCTTCACGGTAATCGCCTCTGATCTATTCAGGGACCTGAACGATTCGCTAAAGCTCGTGCCTTTACCTCCGGGTATGAGGGATAAGCTCTTGCTCTGGGCGGCTCTTATGTTTGTAATCTGCTACTCGTGGGAACGGTTGCTCAGGTGGGCGTTCCCGGGTAAGATTCCTGCTTGGGAAGAGAGACAGCGAGTTGTCGAGGCAAATCTGGAGAAGAAGAAGAAGGTCTGAGACTTGATTGATAGCGAATGGACCGAATTAGAGAGCAGCAGAAGCAGATGCAGATGCAGAAGCTGCACTTTTGATAGGATGGGTGGATACAGGCAGAGTCATCATAGAGGTTACTTGCTTTCAGATTTTAATCCATGTTTTTGTGTTAGCTCAAAGAAGGGAATCTTGAAAATGCCTTTACTCTTTCAAGACATTAATGCGTTCTCTTATATATATAGACATTGTATTTGATTTTGGCAAGACATTAGCATACTCTTGCAGTTGCTGTTTTGAAACCTCATTTAAGCTGATTACATCAAACATTGAATTGGCCGTCTCATGGGTCACTATTCTGATTTGTATTTGTAATTAGGGACCATCATTTCGGATTTCGGTTCTGATATTTTAGAAAACTGTAACCATTCGGTTTTATATCGAATTTGGTTCAGTTTTATTTTATTTTTGTCAAGTATATTTTGATTTTTGTTGATTAATACTCAGATAAAAAAATCGATTTTTCAATTACTTTTTATTTGTTTTAGTTCAGATTTGATTTTGAATTTTAAAAAATTCACAATCACTCGATATTACGGTTGTACCTTGTTTGATTAGATTTAATTTGATATTTGGTTATTAACGAAATTAGTCATATCTATTTGTAACATTCACCAAAAAGCATCGATTTAGTTAGAATAATAAATGGAGTAAATAGGAAAAAATGGCAAAACCAATTTCTCTTGGACCTCAGCGTGGAAACTTTTTATAAGGAAAAAAACATAATTTCCCATAAATAATTATTATTTAAGTGAACGCGCTGAATATTCAGAAGATTTATATACGTGTCGCGATAACAGAGGCTGTGCCCCCTCGCAGCATTTGAATTTTACCAAAAAAATAATAAAATAACATTTAAATTTAAGGGAAAGGAGGTTTAGGGATTTTAAAAAAGGTATGTAGAAACAACCTCGGATTATAAAATATTGTGAACGGACTGTTATTAGTGGCAGCGTGAGCTGCAGCGGCAAGAATCCCGATATGCATACTGTCACTTGAAATAACGGATGAAGAAAGAGCGGGCTGTTGTCTATTTGCATGCCTTATACCCAGGAGAAGTTGCGATTTTCCATCTCTATGTTAAAACGGAACGGAGTTGAGCATCCCGAAGACAGAAAAGATCGAAAAGAACGCAGATTTGCTTGGCCGAGCCATTGAACTTAATCAATACCTTATAAAGAGAACAGAATCACCAGCGAAGAGCCTTTTCGTGCTAACGAACACGCTCCAGCCTGTAGTTAGCAGATGCCTTTTTGGTTGACCTGTAGACATCGAAAAATCGAAAACTAAGAAACCGGGGATCTAAAAAAGACATGTAACATGAGAATTTCTAAACACGGGAAATACCTCGATAAATATGTCTGAAAGTCCACGAACTCTCATGAATATCTTTAGCAACGAGCTCCTGAGCAGGCGGTTGCATCGGGGAAAGATCGTGACTTCGTTGAGTTTTCCCCCCCTTCTTGTTCATCTTGATCCTCGCCTAAATCGTCTTTATCTCTCGGATACTAGGAAATCTCCAGGTTTGCGATTTTCCTTTCTCTTTGTTCTTCGCGATTCTTCAATTTGTCTGTGTTAGATTCTCATTGTGATCGTTGCAATTTTGTGTGCTTTGGTCATAATTCTCTGAAAAACTGTCCACCTTGCCTCCTGTTTTGTACGGTGGCGCCAATAAAACCCTAAATTCAGGGTTTTCTCTTTTGGGTTTTGGGGGTTTTCTGTTACTGCATTAGCTTATCTTCTCCATGGAAGTAGGAATTTTTTGTTTTGTTGTATCATTCGGTCGCTTGGTTCTTATTCTCTCCGGTGGCTCATGATTACCATAGCGACGCCAAGAGACTGGATGAGATTTTCAAGCGACGGCTACGTATGATCGAGCTGGAAGACTCTGCCATGCCTGAGCTGGTAATCAGCAAGCAAATCTCGTCAGATGGTGAGAAAGAAGATGAAGGTGCTCAGACTTCAACTATCCGAGTTGAAAAACTGGAGATAAAGAAAGAAAGTTCATTGCTTAACGTCAAGTTAGAGAATGATATCGAGCCTCTTGTCACCTTTGGAGCTCACAAAAGGAAACGTCTGACTCGAAGTCACCCTAAAGGAGCAAAATTCTGTAGAACTGCAGGACAGAAGGAAAACGGTGCAGATGGCAAGAAGAACAGGCTGACAAATTGTGCAGCGAGATGGTCTGCTAAAAGGTAGGGACCGGATCTCTGTCTTGTCTTCCACAAACACTACCTGTATAAGGTTCATTCCCACTCGAAGTTCATATTTCTGCAGGTTTAAGTCCGCAGAGCAGAACATGATGGATATTATGAAGGAAAAAGGGGCTTCTTTTGATAAGCGAATTTCACGTCAGGAGCTAAGAACTGCAGCACGGCAGCTGATTGGTGACACCGGCCTCTTGGACCACCTACTAAAGCACATTGATGGTAAAGTGACGCCAAGTGGTGTTGAACGGTTTAGAAGGTGTTACAATACAGACGGGACCTTGGAGTATTGGCTCGAGAATGCTGATCTTGTCAAAATTAAACGTGAAGCTGGGGTTCCAGATACTAATTGGGTTCCTCCGTCTTGGTGGAAGGATGCCCCTGGAGAATCTGCTGAGTTGAAGCTGCTTAAGGAAGACGTTGCAAAAATGAAGAGGTACTGTTCTACATTTGTGCTAGTTTTGAGATTTCTGAGTTTGGCGTGCTCCTAAGATTCTGATTTTTTTTCTTTTTACCAGTGAAATCGAAGAACTCTTGTCCCAGCAAAAATTACAAGAGCAGGCTGATGCAAATGAGGTGACTTTTAAGAATAAAGTTTTTCTCTCTCGAAAGAATGCGTTTAGATGAACATATTGGAGTGTAGAGTTATCTTTTTGGTCTTTTTCCCACAGAAAATGTACAAGGATTTGGTTAGCTGGAGGGCAAAGACTGATCAACAAATTACAAAGATCTCAAATTCTTTGACTTCAACTCAGGTATCTGCAGTCCTAAGAGCTGTCCATTTAGGATTGGGAATAAGGCAGCATGTTTTTTATACTAGGATTATGTGTTTGGAGCTGCTTGATCAGGAATTAATTTGGCCCGATAAAGCTATTTCCATATCATTTCCTTTTGTGTAGGGCATTTTCAAGGAATTGATCTCGTGGAAAGATAAAGCAGAGCAGCAGTTGTTGGGAATTTCAAACTCACTGAACAGTCTGCGAGCTTTAAATGATTGTGCTACCTTTAGTCCAGCTCCAGAAAGATGGGAAGATTGGTTTCAGAATACCAACTTGGGTGATATTTTAGGGGATGGTTTTGAACCATTGTTTGGTAGTGCTGATTTTATCAACGCTCTACCAGGGGCTGTTATGCAGGAACCCTTCTCAGTGCCACAAAAACCTTCTAAAAGCCCTTTTCAAGATGTTATTTGCTTTGAAGAACAGCCGTTGGTAAATTCTGGAATGCAAACAGCTAAGAGGTTGAACTTTACTGCTTCGACTATTGTCCAGTAGTAAGAGCAGTCTTGTGTGGTTATTTGTCTAACCTTCAGCTTTTGTTTTGGTTGCATAATTAGAGATGCATCTGGAACGTACAGCCAAGATAATGATAACATGGCTCCAGATTCTTCAACCACTACTAACTCAAAATCAGATATCGACACCACGACTATTCTTTCTCAGGTGAGACGGATAAATCTTTGAGGCCTTCGTCAATGTCCAAATTGAAACTATGGCAAGTTGTCTAGCTTCAAGTTCCTCACTTGCACAGGCTTTGCTTCTAGGTCTAATAAGACTACTCTGGGATAGAAATGTTATGGGCAACTTATTTGCAGAAACTGCTTCATATCATCAATCACTCTACTCTCTTTTTGTTCTATTATGTTTTTCCCGGTGCATCAAAGATTACTAGACTTCTCCATATCCACATCTCAATTTCTGCCCTATTTTCATCTACACTTTCACGCAGCGGTGCATATATTGCTTACATGATTTTGAGGATTCATCTATCGCAATCATTTTATTTTGACCGACTCCCCTGGGTTTTCCCTTGACAGGAAATGTTGGAGTTGGTTGCTTGGAAAGCCAACGTGGAACAGCAGCTAACCGAGATGTCAAACGCTGTCATTGCTCTTCAAGGAAGGTGCTAAGTCTGATTCTCTTTAACCATGAGGACAGAAACAGTTGCACAGGTTGTCAGTCAATGAGTTCTAACTATCTCTTTTAACAACGAGGATGGAAACAGATGTACAGGGCTTCTGAAACCAGAAACAAAAGGTAAAATATAAAGATCTAGAAAGTAAGTTAAGTTAACAGGTAGGTTTTGGCTACTGAATCATAGAAAAGTTCTCTCTAAGTTACCTTGTTAGATCCCCAAATTCAGCTGCTACCTATGATGTGGATTTTAGAGGAAGTTTAGAGAGTTGCTCTCTCTTGTTTGGAGAGTTTATATTCTTCATGATGACATGACATTTTTAGTGTTATTAGTGAACTTTTGATATATATATATATATATATATGATCTGATTCCTATCCCCACTCTAGTCTTTTCTTTCCTGAAGAAAGAGAAAAAGCTTGCTGCAGAGTGACTCTTATGGTCCATTTATTTGCTCATGTTGTATGGTTTTCCGAGTAAGGATTCAATATATATATATATATATATATATATATGTATAATCAATAAATATGAGCAAGTCTTGATGTACGTGAGAATTGAATGATGGAAAATAGATAGATTCGAGTGAATATGAATGTCCACGTAAGCATAAGGATATGCTTTGAGGTATAAGTATTGGTGGAAGAGCACATGGTATGGTCAGGACCTTACGTGCATTGGATGCTGACACTGACAAAAAGACAGAGAAAGGCATATAGACAAAGACAACCCTTCGCGTTAACGAGTCATTGATCCTATGGTCGGCGTTTCAGCCGTAACCGGGGGTTTGGGGTATTTGGCTTAACAAATACCCGGATAAGGCTATCGAATATTAACGATAAAGAGATTAGTATAACGAAGCCGAGTTTTGACCTCCGGATCCGGGTTCGGTTTCAATTATTTCATAACGGGTATTGGGATATCCGGTATATTTATTAAAAATTCAAAATATCTTTTATATTAATATTATATAAAAGAAAACATATATTTATTATTTACTAAAATACTTTTATTTTATTTAATTTTTTTATGTTTTCAGTTTATATAAATTATCTAATCGAGTTTTGAATTTTATTTAAGTTTTTTTATTAAATTTTATAAATTATAAAAGTTTTGAATTTTATTTGTATGAGTTCTAATACGATACTGAAAATCTTATTGAATCCGAGTTAAAGGCGAGATCTCATAAAACCAAAATTATGTTTTTGTAAAACCTGTGGTGATGAAACGGAGACGATGTTTTCTAAAAAAGATGATATCCAACCCGTGTCCATCTATCAATAATTGATTCTCATTTTTTTTTTGTTTTTGGAAAATAAATTATTATCACCCTAAAATTCTCTTTATCAACTTTATTACAATTCAATGGAAGTAAACCCAATTTATACATTCTCACAATCTTGTTCTATTTGGGTTTTTTTCCCTTCATTTTCTTTTATTGGCCACGAAAGAATTTTACACAGAGAGAGAGGGGGGGTCAATGGTTTCTGTCTCCTTGCTTTAATGTCCACGAGTCAGTTTCCTTCCTCTCGCAACAGTTACTCTCTTCTTCTTTAATATCTTCTTCTTCTTCCTCCTCTTCTCTGTTGTATATGATAAGGTGAAAAAACAAGGAAAGATCGAGTTTTAGGAAGACGAGCAAGAATGAACAACCAAGCAAGAACCAGGTGGGTTCTTCCATACAAAACCCAGAACCTCGAAGACCATTACAGTCTCGGGCAAGAACTGGGTCAGGGCCAATTCGGAACCACTTTCCTCTGTACCCATATCCAGACCGGTCGAAAACTCGCCTGTAAATCGATCCCCAAGCGAAAACTCGTTTGCCAGGAGGATTACGACGATGTTCTCAGAGAGATCCAGATAATGCATCACTTGTCGGAGCATCCAAACGTTGTCCGAATCGAGGGCGCCTACGAGGACGGGCAGGCTGTTCATCTGGTCATGGAGCTCTGCGAAGGTGGTGAGCTCTTCGACAGGATCGTGAAGAAGGGCCATTACAGCGAGAGAGAGGCTGTGAAGCTGATCAAGACCATTGTTGGGGTCGTGGAGGCTTGTCACTCTCTGGGTGTTATGCATAGAGATCTAAAGCCAGAGAATTTCTTGTTCGGTGGTGTTGATGATGATGCTCCTCTTAAAGCCACTGACTTTGGCCTCTCTGTTTTCTATAAGCCAGGTCTGGTCTGATTTCCTCGTATTGACGATGCTTCTCTGGGTTGTTCTTGTTGCTGCACTTTTTGCACTTGATTCTATGGTGACATGCTTCACTTTTTAACTCATGTCTTGATCAGTTTAGTGTCAAAGCGGGTCTGGTTTTCTTGTTGATCAAATAGGTTTCTATTTCCTGGTTCACCATCCATCTGATTAATCTGCTGAATCTTGTGGCAAGAATCACCGCATCTACTCTAGTTGTCACTACAGTTCTAGGAATCTGTGTCTTATCAACAAGGAAGTAGTTTCTGAAATTCCCATATTACAAGTAATCTCTCTATTGTCACTCTGGTTGTTTTTTTCATTGAGATGATTCTGAACTTGGAAGAACAAGCACTTCATTCTTTCATTAATAGGACTTATCTCTACAGGCCTTGTGCCAACTCTGTTCTTTTTTTTTTCGAAGTAACTTTATATGATAGCTTGAGATGTTCTGAAGATCTTTTTTTACATGAGCTCCATCCGGGTTTGTTAATATTTGTTTCAGGTGAAACATTCTCAGAAGTTGTTGGTAGTCCTTACTATGTGGCGCCTGAGGTTTTACGCAAGCATTACGGCCCCGAATCCGATGTATGGAGTGCTGGAGTTATCCTTTACATTCTATTAAGCGGTGTTCCGCCTTTCTGGGCTGGTAGCTTTCCCGATGAGTTAATAGTGTAGTTCATATGCACATTTTTAACGTTTCACCGAGTGCTTACATTCATCTTTCTCTCATACCCTTTATAATATCCAGAAAGTGAGATGGGAATATTCAGACAGATTCTACAGGGGAAGTTGGATTTCAAATCAAATCCGTGGCCTAGCATTTCGGATAGTGCCAAGGATCTTATACAGAAAATGCTTGACAGGAACCCAAGAAGAAGGCTGACCGCTCATCAAGTACTTTGTAAGCCGGTTACCGCTCATGTTGAGTCCCGTAACTGCCTGAAAAATAGGTACCCATCAGCCAAGCTGAATCAAACAACATCCTTTTGCTAGGTCACCCGTGGATTGTAGATGATACGGTTGCTCCAGATAAACCTCTGGATTGTGCGGTATTGTCCCGCCTGAAGCAGTTCTCTGCAATGAACAAGCTTAAGAAGATGGCCTTGCGGGTAAGTTTTTATGAACAGATAACAGTTACTACTATCAAGAACCTATCTTCTTGTATAAACGATAATTTTCCGAGATGGTTAATTTTCTGTTGAAGGTAATAGCAGAGCGACTTTCGGAGGAGGAAATCAGTGGCCTCAAAGAGCTGTTCAAGATGATAGACACTGATAACAGTGGAACTATCACATTTGATGAACTAAAAGATGGTCTGAAACGTGTCGGGTCAGAACTCATGGAATCGGAGATCAAAGAACTCATGCATGCGGTAACGTGCAACTTCATTTACATATTTTTTCTCTGTCCATATATATCACAACTCCTGCTGAGTTGCTATATTGGCATTCCCTCATGCAGGCTGATATTGACAACAGTGGAACAATCGACTATGGAGAGTTCTTGGCTGCTACCATTCATTTGAATAAGCTGGAGAGAGAGGAGAATCTAGTGACTGCATTCTCCTTCTTTGACAAAGATGGGAGCGGTTATATAACCATCGATGAGCTTCAACATGCTTGCAAAGAGTTTGGTCTGAACGATACCCATCTCGAGGAAATTATCAAAGACATTGATCAAGACAATGTGAGTTATGACCACATCTTTTTCCGTCTGGTTACCTGCTCATGTTTCAAGGCTGCTTGTTTCGTATTTTGTTATGTCGATTGTGTTTGTGTGTGTATAGGACGGGCAAATCGACTATGGGGAGTTCGTTGCGATGATGAGGAAAGGAAACGGCGGTGGTGGAATTGGACGAAGAACAATGAGAAATACTCTCAACTTGGGAACAGCTTTTAGCTTAACCGTGGGTGATTCATCTTCTTAACATTGTTTACATGACTTCTTTTTCAATTTTTTGGTTGGAATTCTTGCTTGAGAACTTTAGCTACAAACATAATACATGTGACCAAACTTGCTAATTATTTGATTTTACTCAGCTTTTCTCTTTGATCTTGTTATCAGTAATTGAAAATGCAAGAGAAGGTTGTATGGTTTCAACATCAAAACATGAGCAAGACAAAGAAATCAGAGAAAAAGGGAATAATACATTTCATTGATGAATAAGACAGTTTTTGCCATTCAGAACCTCCTAAGTTTCCTACTCTAATGTGCATAGCTGCTGTTCAAGTTGGAGTTCAGAGAACAAGGAGCTCTTCTCCAATTTCATTCTAAGGAAGATTTCATTCAGAACTTCATATATCTCATCAGATTTCGGATGTGATTTATCTTCAACCATAAACTTATGGACCTCACCTCCTTCCTCCAGAAAGCTGTATCCAGCTGCTTTTGTGATTCTTTGGCTCTTCATCATCTTCCTCAGCCTTGAAACCCCATCCCATTTCTCAGTTCTGGCATAGATATTCGACATGATCACGTAATTACCCGGGTTGGAAGGTTCGAGCTTGAACAGTGCCTCACTCGCTACTTCAGCTATCTCCTCGTTCCCATGGACACTGCATGCCCCCAAAAGTGTTCCCCAAACCACAGCATCTGGCTTCATGGGCATTGTTTTTATGAGAATGTAAGCTTCTTGCAGCTTTCCTGCACGGCCAAGGAGATCAACCATGCATCCGTAGTGCTCTAGCTTTGGGGAGGTATTAAAAATTTTAGCCATAGACTCGAACAGTTCTCTGCCCTTGATGACCATTCCTCCATGCACGCATGCCAATAGCAATCCCACAAACGTAACATCGTCGGGTTTGATCCCTTCTTGCTGCCATAGAAACAAATACAATTGAGAATTGTGGTGTTAGAGCTTAAACCCCTGATGAACCGAGAAGATTAGAGATGCATCAAATGCTTGAACTAATGGAGAAACTGCTCACCAGCATTTGGGCATACAGTTCAAGAGCTTCATTGTATTTCCCGTGGATAGCTAATCCATTGATCATGGAGTTCCAAGAGCATAAATTTCTCCTCTTTCCGATCTCATCGAACACCCGATTTGCCACCTCAACCTTGCCGCACTTAGTGTACAACTCCAGTATAGCATTGCTCACATAGACATTGTCAAAAAACCCATTTTCTCTAGCATAAGCCTCTATCCTTTGGCCAATCTCCAACGCCCCGAGATTTGCACAAGCTGGAAGAACACTGGTTATGGTTATATGGTTCGGTTTCACGGCTTTATCTTTCTCCATGCACAAAAACATGGACAGAGCTTTCGAGTAATTGCCGTTCTGAGAAAACCCGGAAATCATGGCGGTCCACGAGATCACATTCTTCTCAGGCATCGAATCAAACAAATACGTAGCAGACTTCATATCCCCGTTTCTCGAATACCCCGAAACCATCGCATTCCACACGGGTATATCCCGTTCAGGCATTTCATCGAACACTCTACGTGCGCAGCCCAATAGCCCCAACTTCGCATACGTATCGATCAAAGCAGTGGAACAAAACGAATCAGAAACGAAGCCAGATTTACAAAACCGGGAATGCAGCATCCGGGCAGGAAGAGGATACGACATGGAAGCCGAAGCCGAGAAGACAAAAGTGAATGTGTGATGATTGGGTCGGAGGCCATTGAAGGAGAGGAGATTGAAGAGGAAGATGGATTCATGGGGTTGGTGATGAGCAGAATAAGATTGAATGAGCTTGTTGTAGAGGAAGAGACACGGAGTGGGATAAAGATCGAAGAGTTTTCGAGCATAAACAAGGTTTGGGATCTGAAGCAGGTCCTGTAAGAGATCTTTGGTGAAATCTATGCCGGATTTGAGGCTGTGGGCATGGAATTGTTTGATTTTGTTCATGACCCGAACAGAAAACACAGCTTTTGTCTGCATACAACGAATAACTAGGATTTTACTTAAATTAAATCCACTAATTAAAATATGATTAACAATATTAATAGTACTTAATTAAATTTAAACATATCATAATTAACCTTTTATCAAAAAAACAAAATTAAACATATCATTGATATTATTTTTTATTTTAATAATGAACAAAATGCTGCGAACGGCTTGAACCGGAAATTAGATTAGATAAACCTTGGGAGTCGTATCCGTTGCCGAGAAGACAATCTCTCTCTTTCTCCGCCATGGATACGGAGGTGGAGGTCCGAGCGGTCGCCGGAATTGGCGACTGTTTTGTCTCTCTCCCTCGTCATCTTCTCCACGTGCTTCAGTCCACAAGCTCCTCTCTTCTTCCTCCTCTGCTTCCGCTCGAGCTCCGCTCCGGCGATCGCCGTTGGTCTGTCGCTTGGTCCGGCTCCACTTCCTCCTCTCCAGCCATCGAGGTTCTTTCTCTCTCTCTCACCTCTATACTTTTGTTCAAGCCTGATGAAATATGCGGATGTCTGTCCGGAAAAATGCTGACTTTCAATCGATGATCACTGCTTCGACGAAATTGTGATTCAGTCTATTTTTTCTGGGTTGGTTTCTAGAAATTCGTTCTCTTTATTAAGATGTAACGAGTTCTGAAGGAAACCCAGAAATTTTCATGAATGATTTGTCTTCCTTGAAATCATTTTTGTTTATGGCTTTGTGGTCTTCTATTCCGTTTCTCTGCATTAGGTATCGAGGGAGTTTGCGGAAAGCATTTCGTTGCCGAATGGTACGGTTGTCCGAGTTCGAGTTCTTGGTAATGTGCCAAAGGCTACTTTAGTTACAGTAGAGCCAGAGACAGAAGATGATTGGGAAGTTCTTGAGCTTAATGCTGAACTTGCTGAAGCAGCTTTACTAAGGCAGGTAAATGGTCTTCTCCTGTCTCTTCTTTACTCATGTCCCTTCTCTCTACATTCGCATCTCTTGTTTGCTGGATAATGTGAACTCTACTTTTGTTTCCCCTGCGGTCTTTTCTCCAATCTTTATCCCGTCATTTTCTTGTCTAGTAATTATAGTTTGTAGGGCCAGTGATAGAAGATGATAAAAATCATTACTTTGCACGGTTTTCTAAATGAAACTTTTAAAATACCTTTTCCAGGTGAGGATCTTACATGAGGCCATGAAATTCCCATTGTGGTTACATGACCGCACTGTCATTAAGTTTGCTGTGGTTTCAACCTTTCCACCAAAAGGGGTGGGTAAGACAATATTTACTCTTCACTTTTGTCTTCTTATTCCTCCTTTGTACTCTGGTTTTCTTCTTCTGCTTCTTCTTCCCTTGGATATGAATTGTCACTTGTTATGTCTGCTTACAGTTTTCCTGATTTTATAGAAATGACACAAATGTCTTGACTGGTGGTTTTGCTTTCAGTACAACTTGTTCCAGGAACTGAAGTCGCGGTGGCTCCAAAGATGCGCAAGAGAAATCTAAATTCACATGATGTTTCTAATATGGCTTCCTTGGAGAAAGAAAGTATTCATGTGAAAGCTTTGTTACGTGTGCAAGATTCTGATAGATCAGTCTTCCATAAAACTGACGTCAAAGGGGTTGAGCTAAGGGTAGTGCTCACTTCCATTGCTTATATTCATCCAGAAACGGCCAAAAAGTACTATTTAGAGCCACTTCAATTGGTGTCCATTTTGCCTAGATTACCTCTGAGAAATAGTGTGAAGAAGGATGAAGCCTTCAAAATGAAAAGTGATGAATCTCCAAAGGTGGTTGACAATGACCCTCTGAGGGGAAAGAAAGAACCTCGTCAAGTGATTGTCCGACTTATCTTTTCAGATTTAGCAGCCAAAGGACACCTGATGATGGCTGAGTCACTTCGTCTCTATCTAAGAGCAAGCTTGCACTCATGTAAGTATTCTGTTTGAGCACGTTCTGCTATGTTCTCTTTGCATCCAAACTATTGACTGTAAAGGCATTTCTTGATTGAAATATCATGTATTGCAGCACATTGTGGAATAACTACACTATCCTACCTTATGTGACCCATGAGCGAACTTTCTATGTAGTGCCCCCGCGTAAAGATAACACTTTGGACAAACTTCAATTGCTATGATTAATTCTTCATACTTTTGTTAGAACTTCATCATTTTTTCCTGAATAGTTGGTTTCTCTTGCGTAGAATCAGCTTAACATTTGGTTTACTAAGAGAAATTGTTTGTTACGAATACAAAGTAGTTTCCACCGGACCCCTTGATTTTATTGTCTAACCGGTCATTGTGGTCAGTGATCGCTGAATATTTACTAAAGGTTGTGCTAGATCAATCTATTTGATTAATGACTCACCGTATAGGGTACAAAAATTTTGTCATTTACACTATCAAAGATGGAAACAAAATTGTCTCATTTCTGAGAATTATGTGCATTTGTTGAATCCAAAAGTTATGAAGGAAGCTCTGCTATGCATTTTTCCTATCCCAGTTAAGCATTCTTATTACACAATCTACAATGTCATCACAAAGAAATCAGTGTCTGAGTAAGAGTTGCCACTTGAATGCAGGGGTATATGTGAGGGGGTGCAATGTGAAGGTGAATAAAGAAATCCCTGGTCTTTCCCTTTTTCCTTGTATCTTTAAGATGTCTGAGAAAGATAAGCAAGAGCGGGTCGAGATTCTCTCAGTTCTTTCTAGAAAGGTTGGAAATTTGTTTTCTTGTCATTTCTAAACGCCACTTTTTCTTGAGTTTGGTTTTTCTGGATGTAACATTTCTTTCTGCATTTCCGCAGCTCCCAATGGCTGGTGACATCGACCTGGATGCTATAGCACAAATGACAGAAGGATTTAGTGGAGCTGACCTCCAAGCTCTTCTCTCAGATACTCAGCTCGCTGCTGTTCACGAATTTCTAAACAAAGAAGACAACCCTGAGCTAGGGAGCATGCCAATGATAACTGACACTCTTCTGAGGTCTGTGGCATCAAAGGCAAAGCCATCGGTTTCAGAGACCGAGAAGCAAAGGCTGTATGCTATATATAGCGAGTTTCTGGATTCAAAAAGATCGGTTTCTGCACAGGTCGCTTTCCCTTTTTCCCTTTCCTCCCTCCTTCCTCTGTTACAGTTAACATACACATTTGTAAGCTGATTACTAGTACTGAATTTCTGCAGTCAAGAGATGCAAAGGGCAAAAGAGCAACTTTAGCATAACAATAAGGTAAATTTATAGTCAAGTTCATCCGCATAGTACAGTGATCGCCTGGATACAGACGTTCAGCAAAAGCTTGATCATAGCTACACATGGAAGAAGCGTAAAACCAAATCAAGATGGGTCCTTTTTCGTTCTTGTGGTCATCTGAAGCACCGCTTGTTTCTAGTCTTGGTTGATAATGGCGATGAATGGCATCCGAGATGTTGTATATGTTGTGCCACTACAGCTAGTGAGGATAAAAGGGCAATAATACTCTTTCAGGATCTGGCTTAAGCACATATACAGATGTTGTGGACTGGTCCGTGCATGATGAGTTTATCATGTCTCTTTCATCAGAGGATTCTCATAAAGAGGAACAAGGGACTGTTTACCGTCCTGAGAATAATAAAGGATTGAAAGGCCTTCTCCGCCTGTGGTCATTGGCACAGATTAATGCTTTTAAGTCAGTCACTGGAGCTGATGTTCCTGCTTTAATCCTGGGAAGTGAAACACTACTTCATTTTGAAGTGAATGGACTAAAATCTTATGATCGCAGAGGCGGGCAAGCACCTCGTAACGATCATTTGGAAAATGGAAACAGGGATAAAAACCATCCTGTAGAAATTTTATACATAATGAGAATCTCTGACGAGTCTTTGCTTGGGGATAAATCCTTTGCATACAAGGTTACCATGGATAAAATAGATGAGAGCAACAATGTGATGCATATTGATTCAATGGTTGAAAAGATGAATGTTGGTGACCCTATATCTTTCACTTCTGGCAAAGAAAGACGCTCCAACAAAGCTGTTTCTCCCGATATATCCTCCTTGTCCTGGATGGGCACTATTGTTTCAGATGTTATTAAGAGTAGGTGTTTTTCTCTCTCTTAGTGTCTTTCTAGAATTCAGATATCACTATCCCATACTAAATTATACTTGCATGTGAATCTTTTTGCATTTAGATATAAATAGATCAATGATGGTGACCCTGTTTCGCGTGTGCTTCGTAGTAGCGTCTTGTTAATTTAGATTTTGGCTTAATTCATTGTAATTTTGCTGTGTGGTGTAGGTTTTAGTTACACCAAAAAATGTGTGGAAATGTTTGTTTAACCAACAACTGCAATTCTGTGACCATCTACCTTTTGTGTATTCTTCACATGTAATTGGTTTGATCTGACATTAATAGCATCCAGAATATTGTGCCTGGAAAATCTGTTCATGAACCTCACAACACTGTTATGCAGGGATGATTGTGTTGTTGTCTCCTGCTGCTGGAATGTGGTTTAGTGAGTACAATATGCCTTCACCTGGACATATTCTCATACACGGGCCTTCAGTGAGTTCCTCTCTCTAATTTGGCTGTTCATTCGGCAAATACTTGATTAGAAACAATGATGTATACAATAAGATGCATGATTTTCTAGATTTTGTGTCTTGTGTGTAATCTAGAATGGCTTGCTGTTTGTCGCCTCATGTCGGCTACGTTAGTTGAAATTTAATGGAAGCAGATGCTAATTTTAAATATAGATTATGCGCTGTATTCATCATCCCTTGCCTCTTTATCAATGCACACATTATGGTGGCTTATTTCTTTTCTTTGTTATTTTAAATATATTTTTCGGAAATTTAATTAGGCATGTGATTTCATGTTTGTCTATCCTCTTTCTGTATGACAAGTTACGTTTTGATATTTTTAGATGTACTCTACTTTTTCCATTCCAACTTTGTTTAGTGTATTTCAGCATTTAAAGACTATTTGTTACTTGCATTTTTTTTTATCACTGTCTCGATTGTATTGTTATCTAGTCAAATGGAAGCAGATGGTTTGACCAGGCTTGAGCGTTGGGATTTGTTTTGTGTGAAAACTTTGGTCCTAAGAACCTTGAAATATGATTTCCTTTACTTTCAGGTTTTTTTTAATTATCTCATATAGCTACTGGTTCCAGTAACCTGGTCTTTAACTGGTGTAAGGTTATGGTTTGCAGGGGTCTGGGAAAACAATATTATCTAGAGCTGTTGCAAAGTACTTTGAAGAACAAAAAGACGTCTTGGCACATGTGTGAGTATGCTTGCATTTGCCTTTGCTGATTTGGTGCTGGCTACTTAGACTCTTGCTCTGCATTCATTCTGAGACACACGTGGTTAAGATGACATTGATTTTCATCTGCAGGATTTTTGTATCTTGCTCTGCACTTGCCTTGGAGAAGGTCCAAAATATTCATCAAGTACTTTCTGGTGTAATTTCCGAGGGATTGGAAAATGCACCCTCCATCATCATTTTGGATGATCTTAGCAGCATCATCTCGACTTCTTCAGATATGGAAGGAGCCCAAGTTTCAGCAGCAATGACTATGCTAACAAAATTCCTGACTGATGTGATAGATGATTATGGGGTATGAACTCTTGACATATATAGGTCCTAGCGTATGTTACACCTTTTCACATTTATCAAATGAGTTCCGTTCTTCACATGCAGCCTAAACATATTAAAATTAGACCTTCTATGTTGTGAGGGAACTTGACTTCAAATGACAGTCCTTAGCAGTTCTTTGATCTTTTCTTGTTTGACGCATTCTAAACTCGGTGACTAGGATTGAAATTCCTTGAACACATTCTTATCTAAATTTCCATTCAATAACACAGAGCTCACCTTTGTATTCATGGAGTTACATTTAGCTGATCTATATCTTCTGTTGACTCAACAGGAATACAGGAAAAGCTCTTGTGGAATAGGTCCACTTGCCTTTGTTGCTTCTGTACAGTCTCTAGATAACATACCACAAACACTGAGCTCATCAGGTGCAGCTTGTTCAAGAGCTTTACATCTACCTGCTTTTAAAATAATTTATCAGACATGGCTTTGGAAGTCTTTTTCACTTTATGATATATGATTCCCATGACCTTGTCAGGAAGATTTGATTTTCATGTTCAACTGGCTGCTCCTGCTACCTCGGAACGGGGGGCCATACTGAAGCATGAGTTACAGAAACGCTCTATACACTGTTCAGAAGATACATTACTGGAAGTAGCTGGAAAGTGCGAAGGATATGATGCATATGACCTGGTATTTAGAATTGTCTGTAGCCATTATTGATTATGTATAGACTAAATGATAGCTGAGAGAACATGTTTTTAAGCCTTCATGGTAATATTGATCTGTGATCCTTCATGATACGTTCTCATCTGAACCCTTTGCTCTTCCCTTTTTGATTTGGTTGCCATGATCATCACCGCTTGTTCTCCTTTCCTTCCTTTTGAATATCATTCACCCTGAAAGATCATGGTCTTTTGATGACGGATCCTACTTTCTAGGAAATATTGGTCGATAGAGCTGTTCACTCTGCCATAGGGCGGCATCTGTCTTCTGAATCGGAGATACCCGAACATATTTTGGTCAGAGAAGACTTTACTCGAGCTATGCATGAATTTGTTCCTGTTGCCATGCGGGACATCACAAAATCTGCTTCGGAGGGTGGACGCTCTGGGTGGGAGGATGTTGGTGGAGTGACTGATATTAAAAGTTCCATTAAAGAGGTACAAAAAACATTTTAATGACCTGCTCTGTTTTGTATGTGCTCGAATTTCATATTCCATTGAACTAACGTTATTATCATTTTAAATATAAACCAGGGATATTCTCTAACTGCATATATTCACTATTGTCTCGTTATGTTTGGATTAGTACTTGGACTGTATCCTGTCTAAGTTGAAATATCCTTTTAGTTTACTTTGTGTTTGATACTGCTAGTGTTCTGTTTGTTTCGTTTGTTAATAATATGGTATATTCCATGTGCTTTATCGTGATTTACCTCCACGTGCTCCACTCAGTAAATCTAGACTACACTTAATATAGCCTTTAGCTATAACCATTTCTATGCTAACTTATTTGTACTTTTTCAAATTGTATCTTTCCTCTCCAGATGATTGAATTGCCATCAAGATTTCCAAATATCTTTGCAAAAGCTCCACTGAGGTTGAGATCAAATGTTCTCTTATATGGCCCACCTGGTTGTGGGAAGACCCACATAGTCGGTGCAGCTGCTGCAGCTTGTTCTCTTCGTTTTATATCTGTGAAGGGGCCTGAACTCTTGAACAAATATATCGGTGCTTCTGAGCAAGCTGTAAGAATGAAACTTTTGTTTAATTTTGTCCTTTTCCTATCTGCTGCCCCTAAAGCAACCTTGGATGCTATACCCTTACTCTTCCGCTTCAGTATTGCATGTTTTATCTGTACATGAGAACGAATTGAGAGGGCCTTCTTTCCTTTAAACATATCTAGTCAACACCTGGAAATCTGAAGAATAATGTACTTGTCCATTTTTGGTGAAAATGATTTTCTCAGGTTCGCGATATATTTTCAAAAGCAGGAGCTGCAGCACCATGCCTGCTCTTCTTTGATGAATTTGATTCGATTGCTCCAAAGAGAGGACATGACAACACGGGAGTAACTGATCGAGTTGTTAATCAAGTTAGTCCCCCCCCCCCCCG